TTTAATTAACTTCATATACTCTAAATCCTCCTGAAATATATCATATTTATGTCAGTTTAAGAATATAACTGTCAAATACCGATAACCCCATTCAGTTTTGTGATGAAATCAGTGAAGGATGAGTGCCTTAGCATCTATAAACCGGTATGCGTGTATTTGCGTAAACATTCAACAAACTACGAAATTCCATGAGATATTAAAAACTTTGTTTTGTAATTAGCTGACTTGTTTTTACTGCCTTATGTAGGTATGATGAAGTGCGTAAATATTAATCCTATGAACTATGTCAAGGATGTATTTCCCAGTACAGTTTCCATATACTTCTTTTTCAACTTGAACCTTCTTTGCTCTTCCAGTTTACAAGTATATAACTATGGTAAATTGTGTGTATTACAAAGAATTCACACAAATCAGTTTACCTGATTATTTTCACCATGTTATAGAGAAGTGTATATTGTGAAGGAATGTAAGTTATTTATACTTACTCCTTTGTTCTATGACTAAATTGTGAACCTTATTCATTATCACATTTCAGTGAAAATTGAATGAACACCGCCACTCTAGTTAACCTTGTATTTTAAACTTAAAGTAATTATCAGTAATGTAATCGGTGATGTTTGACAGTGGTTTGAAAATCTGAGTAACAGCAGGATTTGAAATAAAGACATCCAGATTAATAGTCCGCTGAACTATCAGCTGGGCTAGGAAAAATTACCAGATACCATGGAAATAAATCACAAGTTTCTGTATGTGTGCCTAACACAAGGAGAAAATAAGTTTGAAGTATCAAAATAAGGGTATGGAAAGTGAACAAAAATTCAGTTCAGAAAATAAGGTAAACAAATTTCAGATGAAAAATGCGCAAAACAGTAGTAATAGTTAAATACTCATAACAGTGAGTACATGAATCAGGATTTCCCATACAAATCGCTACGGTCTCAGCAACGCAGATTTTACAGAAGCTTCTTTGACTTTTTAGATGACTATGAATGATCTTTCTTTACATACTGAGTGGTAGGTGTTAGACATATATTCAGTTAAAGCACTCCTTATTGATTCTTTTGTGACATTTCTGTAGCCAAGCGGGATAATGTTCTTTGAATCCCTTAAATAAAATACGCATCGGACGGTCTATATATATCCCTCTCCACAGGAGCAGTTGAACTGGTGGTAACACAGAAAAGTAGTCAAATGCACTGTTTGGCAAACAATATGAGTCGTGAGATTGAATCAAAGAATGTACCTCTCAGAGCATTTGATATTCTCTTCCTTAGAGTGTCGAACGGAAGGCCAGTTTTAAAAAGCACACTGACGCATAGCATCTTCTTCAACACAGGGATATGGTGTTGCTTGTTGGTTTAGGAATTTATGTATTTATCTATAAAGTGTGGGAAGCAGTCGTTTTCAATAAGAGTCTTTTTCAAAAGAGTGATCTCTTCATCTGCTGACTCAGGGATGTAGATTCTCCGGACCCCCCATGCAAGAGGTACCACTAGGTTTCGATTGCGATAAATAGGTGCCCAACTGTGAATGTTTGCCAACTGGCCGCTGTACATAGCTCTTCTGTGTATCGATCTAGTCACTGTTCTATCAGCCTTCTTTCTAAATCGAAAGTTCACAAAGGAAAGTGTTTACTAAGTTTCGTCTTTGACCAAAAATTTGATTTTCTATAGTTTGGTTTGTAAGGATTAGTTATGTTTTACGAGTTGATCACGGATTGTAACCGGAAGGTCCTGAGTTCGAAACCAGTGGGTGCGTACTGCCGATGATTCCCAAACTAGGATGAAACAGCAGCTGTCCAGTACTCCCTGTTTTCAATGGTTCTCAAACTGATATCAATCCGTGATCAACTCGGAAAATTTGATTATTAAGTGTGGACTACTGAGAATTTATGGGACATTTAACAGAAATGATAAAAGTATAACTGACATACATTTTGTACGGGAAAAGATATTCACGGTCGATTTCAAGAGAAACCATTTTCCAATATTGCCGTAAAAGCAGCTGCAATTACTGGACCTAATGGTGATCCCATAAATATGCCATCTTACTGTCTGTAAGTAATACTAGTGAATATGAATTGGACGTTCCGAGTGCATCCAAGCAAAAGTCCTTTTAATCTAAAAATTGGTATTCCAGTATTAAATTCGTTATCCTTCCAGTATTTACATAGGAATTAGCTCGTCTTTATAATCAGGGCATTTCTCAAAAGTGATTCGATATTAAGGGGAATCGAGAGACTGCCGTCTACTTTTCCTTCTTTAATAAGTCTATGAATTCAAACGTATCCCGAAAAGAACACCCTGCAATTCGTGCTCCAACAGGCTATAATGGTTTTAGTGGTCTTTTTGACCTTTTTAATTGTGACCTGTTGCTAACTACTATCGAATCAACATTATTATAAAATGCCCATTTCCTAACACTATAGTTTTCAACTTCATGTATCAGTACAAGGATGTTTGTGACTTTCAACTTCTTTCAGTTTCGGAAAATAGTAACCACACGGTAATTACACCTAGTTTTTAATTCCACTATTTGATTTATAAGTTAATGTCATCCCTGACAGATATTTAAACGCATCGAAGTAGCAACAGGGATTTCCTCACCAGGTTCAGAGGACTAGTTCCTAGAAAACGTTTGTACCAAACTCAGGAACACATAAAAGTTGTTAGACCTTTCTCTATACTTTCATGTGTATCGTGGAGGGTATCTCTTAGACCTTCATGGATAGATAAGCAAGTGAAAAGGTTATTAGGGAGAAGGAGACGCTTTTGGGGTCCGTATGTAGGAAAAGAAAAAGTTTCATCCTAGTTAGAGAGTACCGCAGAACTCGTAACTTTTGTGATGTTTTCTTTACTGAACAATTGATATAAAACGTGGAAGATAGAGATTGTTACAATTCTGCAGTCATATATGAGGTGTAGAACTATTAGAAATAACAGAATTCCTACGGGCATCGCTTAACAGGAATATATTATCGGAGTCAGACAAGTTAGATATTAAAGCGATGGATTTTCAAGAAATTGAAGAAACAAATGCTGTTTAACTATATTTCAATTTTTTGAGACTTACAGTTGCCAACGTTTTATAAAATATCACAAACAGTCAACCACTGACGCATGTGACTTGTGTGCAGAACATCAACATATTTGCGACCTTAGCAGTATCATGTATTGACTTTGTTTGCAAGAAGGCAAAACGTGAGCATAAAGTGAGAAGAATAATCCTCTTCCTCGATATCATGTTTGTCGATTTCATCAAGGTATTTAAAATTAAAAGCTTTTAAATTTTATCATTATAGTATGACTTCACACAGTATTTTTGATACAAGTATGCAAATTTTAGCATGCGATATCAAATTTAGCAGACTGACCATTGATACCAGGTGTTTGTCGACTGGGGATCGAACCCCGGACCATGTGCATGGTCGGCGAGCGTCCTAACTGCTGTACCACTGACACAAAATAATGGGTCAATCCTCGAGGTAATGCAATACAAGGCCGACCCGTGGACGGGCATCTCTCCCGCTGGTTCTTTTGCATCCTTGGTTAAACATAGGGCTGCAGGGTTTGTGCTTTCAAGTTTCAGTAGGAAAGATGTTTCTTTTGGTACGGCAAAGGTTCCTAGCCTCAAACCCAAGCTTTACTATTTTCCTGGCTTACTGCCAGCTAAGTAAACTAGGCGAGCTTTAAGGGTGAATCTACTAGGAATCGGATGCCGTACAACGTGCGTGGTTGGGAAGCTTTCTACCAGTAAGTAACTTATCTGATAGAAACTACCTAAGCTTGCAGGATTCCGAATGAGCAGCACTACAAAGGTTTGGATCTTGTGGATAGCGAGAAAGTAAGGCATACTCTCTGAATGGAGGCTAGCCAGAGGCCGAGGCTCACAGAACATTATTATGGAACGCTCACTGATTTTTGCGACATATTCACAAACACTTGATGTTCATGAAAACATCATTTTTGTTGTTTGTAAATGATGTTAAGTTTTTGAGGGTTACCAGTAGCAACAAAGGTAGGTTTGAACTGCAAAACTGTCTAGACAGATTGATTGAGTAGTTCAAGCTCGATAGCTTGAGGAAATTATTAATCCTCTTTGTCAAAGAATTACACTTCTTCACTCAAAAAAAAGATTGGCATTGGTCTGTGATAAATAAATGTTCTAGAAACTGATATCATTCACAACTTAAGGACTGAAACATACTATACTGCAGCCACGTCAATATAATTGTTTTGAAAAGCATTCAAATTTCTTGATAATGGGACACCCAATGCGAGTCACACTTCATCATCAGTACCACACACAAGCTACCAGGCCTACTTTCCAGAGAGTAGAAAACATCCTACAGCAATCTCAAAGGTCGTGTACTATGCTTGTGAAGGCTACTTCACAGCTGCATTTAATAGACTGAGAGATCCTTTTTGACGCATCCTATTTTAGGTAATTAATCGGGTGTCGATGTTTCTAATTTGTCAGCCTATTCTATAATATCTCTTTAGAGTTGTTGTAGAAGTTTTATAAGCCACGTTCGAATTAACCACGGATGGATTTCTTATTCTTGCATAAGCTGTTCAACAACCAGAGTCTGATATCAGAACTAACTAAAACACCTTCTCTGGTTAAAAATTTCTACAAAGATTCGTACTTCAAAGATGAATACAAGCAACCAGACCTGCTTATTTCACTGGATAGCCACATAGAATGATATAGCGTGGTGAAAATGGAGGGTATATTATTCGAATCTTCAAATGTTCGGGTATTCCAAAGGTGCCGTCTCCTGAACAACTGAATAAATAACGAAATAATTTTCATTTGACTATTTAAAATCTCTCTTTTATATTTTACTTTATATAAGTACATCACTGCAAACAAGTCAGTGCATTACATTCAAAATACGATGAAATAAAGAAATAATAATTAGAATTTTAAAAAAAAACCTCTGAAGTACTGAATTTATGATTCAATTATTTTAATCCGTCCATCAACAATCGGAGCTATCAGTTAGCACTTTGTCTTTCACGTTCTTCAATTATGAATTGACGTGCTTTATTCCATCGTGAAGAATTGCTATCTGTTGGATTCGATGATGAATTTTCATCCACTGGTTCTTTCATTAATCTACTCCTCTCACTTAAGGGTATAAGACTCTGACGGTGACGTGTACGAGATCGTTCAAATCCTCTTAGCACCTAAAAAATAACCAAAAAAACACCAAGTTTGGGTATTTAGCTGAATTTATTTATGAAAAGCTGTCTCGTAATTGAAAAAGCCTTTAAAATTATTTCAACATATAGAGAGATTATAACGTGTAACTTTTTCAGTGAGTTTGGAAACAAAAGAGGGATATATCTGCAGCATATTCATTAAATTACTTATTTCAACATGGCTCAAGTGGCATGGATAGGCCTCCTGATGAAGTAGGAATGTGGGATAATAAGAACAGCACACTTCCATATGCTATCTAGGGTGCTTAAAATTTATCGCTGAAAGTATTAAATTTAGGTTCTTTCCCGCCACTACTCCAGCAGTGGATTACTATTTCCACACTCAGAAAAATTCAAAAGATTAACTAAGTAGGCGAAGATCTACTGCTCAATAGAAAAGGCAATAAGATCATAAATTACAGCTTAGCATATTTTTATTTATTTATTTTATTTTTGATTACTGCTTGATTCTACACTGTATTTTTGGTAAAAGTATGGAATTTTCAGTGTGGATATCGGTAGACCAAATTTTGCAGGCCGACCATAGATATCTGGTGTGCGTTGGCAGGGGATCGAACCTCGGACGATGTGCATGGTCGGCGAGAGTCCTAACCACTGTGCCACTGACGCACATATTTACTTCACCTAATCGATGAACTTTAGGCTGAAGATATGAGAACAAGTTTTTGACTCGACTTCATATGCCCTCAAAACTCGAATGACTCGGACTTTGAACCAGATTATGGCTGAATGTGTAACTCATAGACCGCGTGGGAAATACTGACTCAAAATGTGCATCTTCCATTCCTAAGAAGAATTTAGAAAAGACAGTTCACCTTGAAAGTGCTAATAATCCCTATCTTTGTCTAACCTAGCCTTATTATTTATTATTTATTTTTTTCCTTCACGTTCCCAGTGGAACATAGGGCTTCAAGCTAAAGGCTTGAAGTTTCTGTAGCAGTGTTTATTTTTACAGGATGAGGTTTCTAGCCTCCTGCCCAACCTTCCGTCTTTATCAGTCTTATTACTGGATGAGTAAGGTAAAGGAGTGCGTCGGCCGGGTATAGAACCCCGGACCATGTGCATTGTCGACGAGCGTCCTAACCGCTACGCCACCGACGCTGTAACCTAGCCTTAACTGGGATTTATTCTCACAGAATGTTAAGGGAAAGTATGCGTTTTGATATTTATACACTTTCGAAACCATTTCTTCATATACGTACTCTTCTTCACATTAATCTGCCTTTGTAATCCAAATAGCAGATTCAGGGTGAGCGATGAGATTGTTCACTTGGAGCCACATAGTTTAATCTCCAGTTAGGTCATAAGCCATAGCTGTACACTAATGTATACAGTGTTTTTAATACAATACCCATTTCACCAATCTAGCATCAAACATTTTCTCAACAGTTATTTGTCAACAGCAATACTTTGAAGGTGTAGCAAGTGGATATTGGAAACAGTTACACAATAAAATCGAGAAAATAAACCAGGCGGTTACATAATAACGCACTATGTATTATGCGAAAAAGAGGAATGAATTGGTGACTAAACTATTCAAATAATTTCATCAAAACAATTAAAGGTATAACAGACAAATTAATAAGATAGCAAAGCTTGTAATTATTTGTAATTAGACTTAGAGGTGGGTAGAAGAAGATAATACTGTTAATATAAGTTACGTGTTGACTGTTAGCAAGATGTACCAAAAAAGATTACCAAGTCCACATCGCTTACCCCTTATCTAAACATGCTAGATAAGGTTAAGAAATCCAAACATGAACATTATCAGTTTCAAACCCCATACAAACAACAAAACATTGAGGATGACTGTACAAGACCTGTTACTAAAACTTTCAAATTCAAAGGAGTATAAGTGAACTCAAATTTGAAGATATTTATTATAATTTATCTAAATTTCAACTTGATGCAAACTTTTATCGGCAGCCTCTTTCGTTCCATCAATAAGAAACTTAGGCAATGAACCAATCAAAAACCTACCACTCAATAAACATTCAGGAGGAACTGAGGAAGGATTGAACACAAGCTAAGGAAACCAATGACTGGCATCACACACCGGACCCTCAAATTGAACCTGAAATAGAAACAACTAGTTGGGCATCAGAGGGTGTGGAAAGGAGATGATACCTTATGGACAATCGTAGAGCCACCTGAAAAGGAATACAGAGAACAGAGTGACACTGAGATGTGTAGCTACAGCACCACGTTCCACTTGAAACCCGAGGAAGTAATGTCACTAGTCTATTTAAATAGCCCAGCAACATAAATCATGAAGTTGGCATCACAACTGTGATCAAACTAGTTGTTACAAATGCAAGGAAGGGTAAGTTAGATAATTCATCATAATTTTATGAATATCTGAGTAATCAACAGAAAGAAAGCATCTTTTGTATTGTATAACACTTCTAAGATATCCTTTATGAACTATATGCCGCAACTTTACTAATTATGTCACAATGAAGGGGAAATTCAAAAACAGTAGCTGCCCTAGAGACGTTGAAACACCAAACTTCTCAAGCATCAAGCTTGTATTTTTGTCCCAAAGAAATCCTCTAAATATATAAACGTGGTGGTAATGTTTTTGGTGATTATAATCGTGACTTCATTCCTATTTTTTAGTATCAGTAATATGTATATTAAGTCATCTTTTGAATATAATTCAGCTACATCTTGTTATCATAATGAAATTTGCAGCATATATGTCAAGATGAAGAAGTTTCGTCTCATTATTTTAATGTATAGTTGTTCATAAATTCTTATCATATATGACATGAAGATTGCATTCTGTACAATAATCTGTACCTTTTTGAATATTATTCATGGCGGCTTGCTTAAATCACTGGATTCCCTAATTTTCCACAGACAATAATGAGTCAAATCCTTTCAGTTATATTTTATTTTAACCACCGATTTGAGTCCTTGAAGAGCAGTCTAACTTTTATTTTCGGGCGGCTTTAAGGATACCCTTAGGTATGTTTCGGAACGATAAGATCGTCGAGAATCAGAGAATTTTGCACATAGAACAGAATTTTGTCCAATGATATTCTGTAGATTACTTCTTTACATCACGATTCTGCATGAATTGTGGATTAAAGCAAGCTGGAATTTATGTGTTATGTATAAACACGTTCAGAATCAAGCTACTATTATTGTTACTCTCATCCTTAATTACATTAGACGATTGTCATTTATTTGTTAAACATGATAAGTGTTTTTTGTTATCCTCTTGATCTGACAGTGTGCTAACCTTTAATAAATATTAATAATCATATTTGTAGAGTACTCACCTAATGAGTCTTATCATAAGCTTATGCATATATTAAATACCCCCTTTAACACAGAAAGGAAATATTTTCCGTCTTTGCTATTTTCTGGGCTAAATTTAATAAGTCCCCTTAATTTGTTTGACAAATTAAACTGCTTTTTACAAACTCATAATAATAGGAAAAAAACTGATTAAATCGGCTTTATCTGTAAATCCTTATAAGTATTTGGATGTATAAACCAATTAATCAGAATTAATCCTATCGCTAATTTCTTTATACTCAAACATATCGGCATCCAGAGTTACAAGAAATTTTATTTGATAAGTTATTGTGTTTTTTCCCTGTCTTCTACTGGTATTTCAAATCGCAATCCTAAGGAGATTAGAATGAAGTGATTCATCAAACAGATGAATGGATTCTGACCAAAAGCTTCCATATTGTATATCAGATATTTAAACAACTTGAGTTAGCAATATAAACAAGAGAAGTTTCCTTAATTTCTATTAACAAACAGCAGAACTAATGGCATATATTACTTATTGATGCAAGTAGTCAGTAACTATTCATGCCAAGCAGCAGTGATCGGCAGCGAGATGCAAGTGAGCGTTTCGCCAGATTAACGTCGAGATGATCAATACTGTGCGTAGCCTAACTCAGTTAAGAGAGTTGGTTCATTCCAAACCAACCAAGGGGGAACTAAAAATGTATGAAATAAACTTCTCAATTCAAATACGACGCAGTATGACAACGCACTACCGTTCCTTTTGGTTAACTAAATAAGCTTGCATCACATTGTGTAGCCTGCTTCATACCACAAACGTCAATCAATTAAGATAAACTTCACGACAATATTCTCTGCTGATTTATGTTCCAGTAATATGGAATGATTCGTTTCTGCCTGATAAGTAAACTCAAGTACACCCCGCTAGTGACCTCAATACTAAATAAACACGGTGGTCCGGTGTTTATTTCACTTTCACGTGATCAACAAGCCCTATTAGTTGAAATAAATGGTTTCGAAGTGCTCATATCAATCAAAAGTATGTCTTCTCACGAAGTTGAGCTTTTTTCTTGATTGCCACTTATCATATCAAGTAGATCACATTTTACGATGGCGTGAATACTTTGAGTTTCTAAAAGAAGTATTGACGAGTTTTCATCTCGAACTAAGAAATTTGCCATTCACGGATTTGTAACTACTGAAGTTTATGGTTTAACAGTCAAGTGTTCATGTATTCAAATTGAAAGCTTAAACATCCTACCACAGTGATGCCAACTATTTGCTTCATAATCTGTACGGTTTAGCAGACACCCCTATGTTCACTATGTCTTCTCAAATGGGAATTTTGGCGATCCGACTGATTTCAGAATTAGAAGTGGTAAATCCCAAGGTGCCTGAAAATACTCCACATCAATAAAGACTTTATTCTGAGTCATATATGTGGTGTGATCAAGCCATTCAAAATTATTTCGCTTACATCTTAGTGCACGCAAAATTTTAGTAATCCATAGGAAAAAACCAGAACGAACCATGGCCTTAGTGTAAGTTTTATTTCCTTGAATTCTTGTGTAATTAACACTATGTAATCCTTTTCCTTTTTATTTTTGTAAGCCATTGTCAGTCCTCTCTTCTTTTGTCGCCTGTCAGTTATTTTTAAATGACTATGCATCACTTAAATAATTATTTGTCGACCTTCTCGATTACATACGATTATTCAAAATTTTGCATACACTCTTATTCCGCATGCAATCAGGCTTTTGTTGTCAGAAGACAGTAATCCCTAATCTGTGTCATCAAGTAACATGACGTATATAAAACCCTAAAACATTTGTAGAACTCCGGAGTGAAGTTGCGAAAAGAGGCAGCTTAGCTGGCTTTCATTCAATTCCTTTTTAATTACACTTGTTTGGCAGCATATTTAGAAAATCTATGTATATCCGTTAGATATAGACATTACTATATGATTCACATTTTAATACATTAACTGAGAGAATTCTTAATTTTCAAGCATTGGTTTGTGGGGATTTTGTTTGATTGGTTGAAGGATTTCATCATTAGCTGATATCAGTTAGAGAACCATTGGAAAACCAGCACTGGAATACTGGACAGCTGTTTCGTCAGCCTAGTTTTGAACTTCTAATCAGTACACACCCACCGGGGTTCGTAGCCAGGACCTTCTGGTTACAAGGCTAGCGAGCTCGTAGACCATTTAGCCACTGGGATCCGATCCAATGCCAACCCATGAATTGCAACTTCTACCAATTTATGATATATCGCGACCACTTCGCAATGTCTTCTTCGATGAATAACTGTCCTAACTTCGACCTACTGTAGCCTACTGACCATGACTTCCCACTAGAACCCTAGGTAATTACCTACCCGAATAGGACCAGTTTCCAATGAGCATCAGATTAGTTTTAGGTGCTTGTTTATTGAGATTCGCCTTACAAGCACACCTTGTAACCAGAAGGCACTGGGTACGAAACTAGGCCAACGAAACAGCTGTCCAGTACTCCAATGCCGGTTTTCTAATCTTTATCTAACTAATGTCAGGTCATGATGAAATCCTCCAACCAATTATTTATTTTGTTTTTACTGTATTGTTTCCTGTATAGGAAACAATCTAGTAATTGTACAGTATTACGAGAATATTTACCTACCTCAAATAGTTTTCAGATAATTCAATTAAAACTTATTCTTCTTTATTTTGTGTTCATTCTTTCAATTATAATTTGTAAGGCAGGTTTAAAAAAGGTTTGACTGGTTAGTTTCTGAATTTGGGCAAATAAATTACTTCTAGCATGAATCGTTTTTCAAGCGTGTTATCAGTCCAGTTTATTACATGTCCACTTCATAGATAAATGTTATCATTGAGAATTCATGTCTATTTATTTGTATAGTTTCTCTTAAAAGCCCCTACTTATTTTGCTGTTACCTTAAAATAACTTCATTATGTACACATATATGTAACTTCAGTCTATCACGATAGTCTATCAGTCATAATTGAAGCTGTATAAATACTGACTTTCGGCCTATTAGTCCAAAAAACAACCAATCAGACTTCAACGTTTTGATCGACTCCCACTACTCGGCCCATGCTGCTATATGATTCGTTTCCGTGATACATTAATTTTGAATATTGTGATTACTATTGTATATCCAGAATGTTTTCTCTCTGGATGTGTTACTATGTGAATATGCTTATTCACTAGTTGAGGCAGCAAAGGTCATTAGTGTTAATCAGGAATCATCCAAACAGACATCCTTTATAGCAGCTTTTGCTTGCTTGGGACTTTCAAATTTCCCTGCTTAAATAGTTTGCAACAACTGTCCAATCGTAAGTGAGGATAAAGACTCGCCGATTACACCAGACAGTGGTCGCGCTAAAATCACGATTTGGTAGGAGTTAGAATTCACTGAGCTGGGTCCCAGTAGCCGAATGATCTACAAGCTTGACTTGTAACCCGAAGATCCCAAGCTAGCTACATGGAGTTTAATTTATCCTAAAAAAGGTTTTCATTTGATTCATACTATCATAAACAGTTGGATTCCGGATTCAGATTTGCCCAAAATTGAATCGCTACATATATATTTTCTCATCACCCTTTAAAAAACCTACTCTTTTCTCTTTTAAAGTGTGTCTATCAGTGGACCATTCGTAAATCCCTTTTAGATGCATCACTGTTACATGTGCGACAGTTCCAGTCTTGTTTTAAGCTAGGGGAGTCATGTCAGTGCGTTCACTATTTTAATAATTGCTTTCTTTGTTGCTTAGGCTTGCCAGTCAAGACGAAGGTCCAGTTTCGATTTCCGATCAAGGCACCTCAAGATCTCACCTAGTTTACTAGACTGTGGTAAGTCAGGAAGAGAGAGAAGGTTTGGTTTAGAGCAATCATCTGCACACTGCGAAGGCTAGAAGTCCAGTATTCCATTAGGAATACTACCATTAAGTAACTAATAGTTTGTAATAGCTTGTTTCACCTAGATTATCTGACCATAATACTGAACGTATGTCTGACATTTTTTGAAGATAAAGTTGTGATAATGAGAAGGAATTAGACAACGAATGCTTCCAATGTTTGATAACAGAAGAGAAACTTTCTTTCATGTACATTACTGATGAAGTCTGTGACATATTTTTACAAATAGATCTATTTATCACATATTCATACATTACTTCTCGTTCATATATATAATCAAGTGAATATATTAAGGATTCTTTCATTATGCGTAACTGGTACGCAGACACATAAACAATCGATTATGCTTTTGTGGTGATATGGTGATCAAGGTCAGTCTGAAAATGAACTGTACGCCATTGGTCAGGAATATGTCCTATCATGGCTACCTTTACTCACGCATACACCATTGGCCATACGTAGATATACCATTCTTTACTTTAATGAATATACTTATACGGATACTGGTTAATATATTTTCCATCTGACGTCACTTTGTGTTCTCGCGTAACTAGAGAGAGCTGAAAGAAATAGATAGCTGTCGGTGTGGTCAATCAGTATTCATGATCACCTCGCCCGTGTCAGACTTTGGCGTTCCTATCCTATTTCATTCTCAATGTTACTTCGAAATGATAATGTCTCAGTATCATGACAGTAACATAAATTTAGGGGATTTTAAATCATCCACACTGCCACCGTATAAAGAAGGAACATCCAATATCCCACATAGATATCCTAACAAAATGAAGAACCTTTTGGCATTCGAACCTGCAAGCTCACTACTAAGTCACACCGCATGCAAACTTATCAAACTCATCAAAATAAATAAATCAATAAAATATATTGCAATCACCGTGGAAGCATTACATAGGTCAGTCTGGTAGATTGGAATCCGTTGGTTGAGTTGTTAGAACATACGAATTTAGCTAAGTGTAGAATGACTGACCCCATAAGATGAAAAACTTAAAGAAAACCTTAGCGGTAGTAATGCATGAATTAATACACAATGACACAATAGGAGAGAACAAAGATACACTTGCAAAAAGTAATACAGTTGGGATGACAGTAAGGTTGGTGACTGAATCCTTTTTCATTGAATCTACACCGAACACTTGCAATATAAATGGAGCAACTACAATACCAGCGATACGGAAAATATTACAACCAACAAAAGCAGATGATTAGAAGTCATGGAACTACATACAGGAATTCCAAAGTTATTAAGCACCTGATATAATTATGAGCAGTATACTGTGCTAAAAATAAATATCACTACTTTTACTTAATAACAAGATTTGGTGGTTAGAAATGATAAAAAGCAAGCATCTGGGACACCAAACCAGCTGAGTACCTATTACCCGAAAAATTTGCCGAAAAGACATTCAAGAGGATTCCAAATGCGGGTCGTTGTGTTAAATCCTGATGAGATACAATGAGTAGAGTGTCCGAGTATGACACGGAGAAGACCGCATAATGAGGAAATGAAAGCTTATAGGCAGCTGTGAGGCCAGTTGAAAATGACGGTAGAGGAACCTAGAGTTATGAAGGTGTTCAGTTGAGGCCCCGTATCTTACAAGGTATGCAAATAGGGAATAAAACTGATAATAATACTGAAATATTAAGTGTTGTTATATAATTTTATCACCCATTTCAATAAAACAACTGATCTACAGCAACTAATTAATTAAAAATAAAACAGTACTTGACTCACCTGTACTGTTCTAAAATAATTCTGTACTAATATTGGCAAATCGGGCATTTCTCTTCATCTAGCAAACTGGACATTTAGGAAATACATGAAAACCATCATTTCCAGCATAAAGATAATGTTTAATGCATAGACGATATTTCTTATCCATGATAATAGGTTCATTTTGTACAGAAACACTTTCAGTAAGAATCCTTCCACCACTTGGCTTAGATGGATTGAATGCAAAACGCATACCACCGATTATCGGGAAACGTCCTGAAATATTTTTTGAATGTATTAATTAAATATAAAGGACAAAATATTAAACAATGAGCAACTGAAAGCTTGTTAACCTTTAAAACGTTGAGCTAACACGCGAAGAATTAAAATTACATATTAAATCATTTACTGGATATACAACATTTTGAATGGATGGCATTTCGAATATCCTCTGTGACTAAGATTATGAATATTTTTGAAGGAGTTGTCATGGTGCACAGATACCTCTCAGTCGTAGTAGATATATTTATGGCTAGGTGGGAAAAGTTGATGGTTCAGCCTCATCCCAAGGCATAGTGAAAATATTTGGGTGACATATTTACGGCTTTAATAAGGCAAGAGATAGTAAATGATTATTTGGAAAATATCAACGCACAGACAGATGCGATTCAGTTCATTCGGGAGTTAAAAAGCAACAAAGAGAAGCTTCCAATGTTGAATTGCATTGTAAAATGAAAACAAGACGGGAGGTTAACTGCTAGCATCTACAGAAAACCGCCACATTCAAATTGACATTTAGATTTCAGTTCATTTCATGCCAATGCCAGGGAAAATAGCATTGGTAAAACGTTTAAGTGGTAGACCGAAACAACCAATAGTGCGAAAGAAAATCTACGAAAGGACATAAGACAAATATAAGAAGCTTTGGTAATTAATAACTACCGTGACAAGTTAACCAAGAATTATATAGGAATATATAAGAATGTCTCTTATGGTAATAATAAGGACCACATGGTTGACAAACATACACAGGAAGGTGACAACATCGAGAATAGGTAATTTCCAACGTCACTAGTACTGTCACATATAGTTAGAACCTCCAAAACCTAATGTGATATTCTTAAGAAATCATGAATAAAAGTGCTATTTAAACCCGCAAACTCAAACCAAATGGTATCAGTCAAATGAATCTATGCAGCCTATTAAATAAAATAATTCATTTTATTTAGTGCTCAACTATGACTGTGAGGTCAAATATGGGGGTCAGAATAGTCGACCATGGTCAGTTAGATTAGTGAAGCTCAGATCAAAGTGGAATTTAGCCTAGTAGACTCTGATAACAAAAACATTCTGGAAACATGCTGAGCTCCAGCACTATATACAGTCATATAAAGCCATACAGAAGAACAGAGCACGGTAACAGTCCTAAAGTATAGTGTTGTGGCGTGTGCTACTGATAAGATTTTTTAGTAGTATATACACAGACTTTCATCGACTAAAAATATCACATTGCAGGGAGACAGATTTGACATCAGAGAAAAAATGATGCGGCGCTGCGAAGAAATATGGGAGACGTGAAAGGAACTGAAAAAACACAATATGAGGGCCAAAGTAGCACAACACAGAAGATCTGTGCAAATGGTGATTTGAAGACGTGGTTTGCATAATTCCGCTATAAAGCGATGCCAAATTCCAAATTTCTTTATATGTATCTATTTGTCACTCGCCGCCCAGTTATTTCGGAAATAAACCGTCAAATCTTGATCGCAGTTCGTACGAATTCCTTTACCAGGTCACTTGTCTTCTAACGTTACAATGTAACAGGGTTGAGGAATATACTAAGACACTTTATCGAATCAGCCAAGAATACATGCAATGAAAATGACTCAGTATCTGTCCCGAATATCTAGAGAAACCTACCACACATACAACAAATGGAAAGAAAGGCTGGGGAGTACAGTGAAATATGTTGAAAATGTCATCAAGTAAATAATGCTGCTTCACTCAATATCCAATTGACGAACTACTATGGAATTATATAATACCAAAGTGCCAAGGTTTTACACACATAGCCACATTTAAAATGGTCTTTATAAAAAGGATTAATAGTCGCTGATTTTACGTGATATGTCAGCCATGCTTTGACACGTAGATATCTCTGTAACTAACTCATAAGTTAATTGAAAGGACATATCTAAATTGTGACAATTTGACTCCGGATAAGACTGATTCGATTTTCGGATTAATAAACCATTATTTTTATTCAGTAATTAATCAATTGAAGCAGTATTTATCTTCTCATCTGTGATCCAGTTAAGTACAAAAGTTGAATGGATTTCATAAAAATATGGACGTTTTTCCACAAGATAACCTTAAAAACAATGATTCACTATTCCAATTGACTCCATCACCACACTGTTATGAAAACAAATAATACATTGTAAAATAAACAATTTCAGCACGAATAACGACTAAGTCTACCTATTTAGTTCCAAGTCGTGGAACATACTCGTCAAGAAATCAGAGAGAAAAGAACAAGAAGTTCAGCAAATATGTCTTTTCGGCGACTTTGTTCTCAAAAGGAGCTGTACAATCGCATTTCTACACGTAAGTTTACAAAGATACAGTTGTTATTTGAATCAAAATAGTGACAAAGAAGTTAAATTTCATGATAACTTTCAACTTGACATGAAAGTCTGAAGGCGTGAATATAGGTTACAAGAGGCTTGAAAACAAAATTATACAGGATTAGAAAATAGTCTTTTTTAACGACTAAAAATATAAATGGGATGAGCATATGAACAAGTTGAAAGAATAATATTTTGAAACTGAAAATGAAATAGGTGAAAGAACAAAGAAGAGGGAAAAGAAGGGGATGAAAAAACCTAAATATAGATCTATCGTAAATTTAAAGGTAAAACCAGTTTCTTTTGAACACACAGCTCCGACTTTTTGATGTATATGGTGAGGGCTTCTGCAGTACCAAGAAGGTGGAACAATTCGGTTTCCGAGACCCTTATAACCTATATTCATGACCTGGAACTTCCATGTCAAGTTGAAAATTATCCTGACCTTTAACCACTTTCGCTATTACGTGTAATCAAATAACAATTGTATTTATGTAAACTTATGTATATAAATGCGATTGTACAGATGCGTTTGAGAATGAAATCGCCAATAAGATATTGAATCTTACGCAGATACAATTAAGATTAACTAGCTGAAAACTATAATTGTTAGATTTCCATCACCAACCAATATCAGTTAGAGATATCCCTGAGAATCAGGAAGAACTGGATATCTTTTTCGTTTTATTCTGGAGCTGTTTATCATCATCAGTGAGCATGCAAGAAGCCACCAGGGATCTAACCCGGGCCATTTAATTTACAAGACCAAGCCGGCTCACCAATCAACCACTTGGCTGGTATCCACTGACCCATAAATTCTAACTAAATCAACTGCTGATATGCCGCTGCTGTGCATTCCAAAGTCTTATCTACATAACTAGAAATATTTCACAATACAAAACGTAAAGAACACGATTTGCTATCATTAAAAAGGAATGAAACTTCAACTCAACATTACCCGTTATAAAAGACGAACACATTAACATGGAACTGTTCATTCAGCGGTTCATATGTTATTGTCACACCCAACACTTCTCTGTTTCCGAATAGCCTTGTCACCAAATACTGTTGGCTGCACATAGAATAAGTTTTTGATAAGAATAAAGGGAAAATATCTTATTGATCACCACCCAGAAAAATGGATTTCTATGGGAATCAATTAAAGGATGACTACCTCTCACCCAAGTGACTAACTCCGTTATACGTGACAAAAGTAGAAAAAATGTCCTCTTGATACTTCTGAAGTAACTGCAGACTACTGAAACCTTTTGGAATGGATGTTACCCATTAGAAAACACAATCTCTTTCTTCTATGTGATGGGGATCAAATGATATAAACGGCAATGAATGACAAGGCTAGTATAATGTATAATACTGACTGCATCAACTGCGAAAACCCCGTAACAGTAAAGGCAAACATTTTCTTCATCTTCACACTCAAGAACACAAACCAGGTATCAAAACACAACACAACACATTCATATCATTCAAGGTGGACAATTATAGATAATAATTCAACTAACAGAATGTCAGAATATCTGTAGATTTCCAAAACAATCTGAAATTGGTTCGGAATACTTTTGCACTCTGTATATACAAAATTATTTGAATTTTCAACACAAATGTGAAGCCAGTCAGTTCTTCTGTATGAGTCAGAAACTTGGACAGCGCGTCAAATAAAACATTTCGAGAGGGCCACTACAGGGAACGACTAGAGGACAAACGTTTTCTGAATACAGAGTTTGGGGTTGTATTGATGAATTGTCACCGCCTCCGTCATACACAAAAGCCGAAACATGACGCCCTTTGTACCATTTGGCCTCATCTTGTGGATGATCTTCAAATACAAATCTGGTGGATCTACGTGTCTTGAGTTCACCAAGTAGTCGTTCCGTGTAAAAAAACTTTAATTTTTTCCTTTTTCAATTTTCACTTTTACTTTTAGTTTGCTTTCATTTTAGTAATTAATGCACTGTTATCACTCTCATATGTTCCTCTTGTACATTTTCACATTCTCTTCATACTTGTTAAATTGACGCTCAACTACCTTTGTTCTCACTCAATAGCAATTTTTTAATTTTATGAAATTTCAAACTTTGTGCCATTGAGTACCACGTAATTTACAACTTTTATTTTTTACTTTTGAAGCCACTTCTGAGTAATCATATCAATTGTCACCCCTAATTACTCAATTATAGACTGACAAACATTTTTGTTAAATATAAATACGACTGTACAGCCTCTGAAGATTAGTTCAACGATAAAGAAAATAATAGTTATTGAGAGGTGTTGATATTATGCAGATATATTAACCAACGAGGGTAAATTTACATTGTCGAAAGCTCTAGTATAAAGTGGTTGAGAGGCTTCATACCAGTATATGTGAGTACAATCTTAAAAAAGTATTTAGAGACAACAAGTCCGCGACAGAGACGGGTATTTCATGCACGGAAAATTCTCAAAGCACACTTTTATTTGAAATTAATGCTCAAGATAGACAATGAAAGCCTTAGAGTTAAATTGTCTAGCTCAGGTGACAGAACAACAGATACAAAAATTGATTAGGAAATTGTTGTTGGAGTAACAGAAAAATGTGTAGATCTAGAGATTTATCAGGTCTTATTTACCAATATGATAAGAATTGACACT